TTATCAGCTAATTCCACATTTTTTGCAATCATTTAAACTTTTGTCAGCCCAATTCAGCAAAAACGTGTTCCTCTGACATTGAAGCTTCTTTCTGCTTGTTTTAGCTACTATACAGCTGTTTTTAGCAAATTCCAGCTTTTCACAGATAATTTCAACTTTATTGTGTTAATTTCTGCCTGTTTCAGCCTTAGTGGGCACACTTAAGCTTCCTCCACTTCCTTTTGGAAATTTAAGCTTATTTCTGCATTTCTTTAGCTACTATTCAGCTGTTTTATAGAGAAACTAGGATAACTGCCATTTTTTGAGCTATTCAGATGAAACTTGGCATATTGGTAGATGACAACGATCCCTAATAGACTCTGAATGAAAATAAAAAAATACAGCTAGTTCAGCTAATTTCAGCTGTTTTCAGCTGTTTTATGCTTCTTTGAACTTAATTCAGCTAACTTCAAGATTTTTATGCTTCTTCAAAACTTATTTCTATTAATTTCAGCTTGATCTGCTTTTTTTTTTTTAGCTTATTTCTGTAGCTTTCAGTTATTTCTGCTATTTCAGATAGTATTTAGCTGTTTTGATGTTAATTTAATCTTTTTCAGCTATTTCCCCATTTTTTGCAATCATTTGAGCTTTTTCAGCCTAATTCAGCAAAAACATGCTCTCCCAAATTATCTCTAATATTTTAAGATTATTTCTGCTTGTTTTAGCTACTCTTCAGCTGTTTTTTGCAAATTCCAGTTTTTCTCAGATAATTTCAACTTTATTGTGCTAAGTTTTGCCTGTTTCAGCCTTAGTGGGCACAATTAAGCTCCCTCCATGTCCTTTTGGAAATTTAAGCTTCTTTCTACATTTCTTTAGCTACTATGCCTTTGTTTTAAAAAAAAAAAAAAACAGGATAACTGTCATTTTTACAGCTATACAGCTGGACCTTGGCATATTGGTAGCTGACAAAGATCCCTAATAGACTCTGATTGAAAATCAAAAATCCATGATGGCTGCCTTAGCAAACAAAGGAAAAAATACAATAACTCTAGCATTTTTAGAGCTATTTACCTGAAATGTGCTACAGTGGTAGCTGAGAGCAAACCCAAACACATAGTAGTGTCAGATCAAGTGTTTATATAGGCAGCAGCTTGGCAGTCCATTACATTAGGAACAATTGTGCACGTTCTGCTTCCTTCTGATATTTGAAGCTTCATTCTATTTTAAGCTACTTTTCAACTGTTTTCTTGACATCCATAAGCAAGAGGCACTCACACTTGCATTTCCGCAGGAAATGCAAATTCTCTAGTTTCTCTTTCTGATCCTTGTGTTTGACTTTGTTGCCATACTTCACCCTCTCTTCAGTCAGTCTCTCCAGCCACTCATCACTCACACCAGTTGGTAATCAGTGATCATCCCAGGTGCACTCGTCTCTCACGCTACCTCTGCCTTTTTAAACCTCTCCTGTTCACCACGCAAATGTCCTCTCATTGCTCTGTACATCCTACAAACTGGACTTCGTGTTTCCCTCTGTCCGACGTACTCCTGTTCACTCCAGTTTGTCTTTCAAGTTTGCGGCCACGTCAGGCCATTGTTTTTGTTGTTCAATAAATTCCTTTTTATTTAATTTCTGCTCTCCGTGTCTGCCTGCACGAGTCAAAACACCGAGGATCACGATAGTGTGTGTGTGCATGAGACATTTGATCTGAAACATCAGTATATGATGTATGGTGTATGATATCAAATGCAATAAATTGAGAAATGACAGGAAGATCAAGAAGGTCAGGAATAAATCAGCCAGTCAAGTAAAAGTCACTAAATTATCTATGGGGGCCGAGATGGTGTAGAGGCAGGGCAGCCGGCTTGGGACCCGAAAGTCCCAGGTTCGATCCCCAGTCACTGCACATCATGTGGCGTCTCTGGGCAGCACACCTCATCCCCAAAATGCCCCAAGGGCGCTTTCAATAGCTGCCCACTGCACCACCTGGTGGTGGATGGGTTAAATGCAGAGACTAATTTCGCCATTGTATGGAAACATACAGTGCTGACATTGTGATGACATTATTATTATTATTATTATTAAACAAGCGGTGTGCTGAGAGTAAAGGTAGGTGTTTTTTATGGGGGTTTTTTTGGGGGGGGATTTTTTTAGGCAGCACAGTGTCAGATCTTGGGGAGTTGAGGGAGCAATTTTATCCACCATGTGACAATCCAATTTTCAATGGCGACCTTTCCTTTGCCAAGATGTAGCCACACACCAAAATGGAAATCAACACGTTGCTTTTATTTTAATTGTCCAAGTAACAAAATGGACAGACATATGGTGGCAGCCATCTTGGATTTTGACATGGCTACCCAGTATTTTGAAAGGAACCTTTATTATGCTTCATTTCAATTTGGTTTATTTATATATGTATATAGCTCCAAATCACAACAGAAGTTGTCTCAGGGCACTGAACAGAAACATTCACATATACAGGTATATAAAAGCCGATTAGTAAAGTTCTCTATCTAAGAAAGCCAGCATCTTCACTTCGTCAGTCTCCCATCCTGAGCAAGCACAAAGGCAACAGTGGAAAGGAAAAACTCCCTTTTAACAAGAAGAAACCTCCAGCCACACACCCAAATCTAAGTCCCTCACCTGTTCAAGTTATCATGCTCACAACATGGACGGACATATGGAGGGCAATTCCAATTCCCCCTCTTTGCTCCGTGACAGAGGACAATTAGAGGTCAAACCATATTTAAATTTAGCAACAATTTAGAGTAAAGACAAACCTGATTATATTTGCATGTGCTCTTTTACAAATAATGAAGTCAAAAGTACATTTGTCCTTTGACAGTAATAGGACTCCTAACTGAACAAAAACACTTCTGCTTGGTTTTGTTTAAGATAACTTCCCATCGAAACAATCCCGCCTTTTAAATTTTATCTGAAAAATAACTTCTAAAATAACTAAACTAAAACCCAACGTCAGTTTTTGCTAAATTGTTAATTTTAGCTACTGGTAATGTTTTTCATGTGGACAATTTAATGTATGAATGGGACAACAAAAAGCCATTTTATAACTACGGTGTAATCCACAACATCCTGAAAATTCCAAGATAAACTATTATTTATAGACATGATGAAACAGAATCTTTATTTTCTTTCAGTGGGTCTTGAAAAGTTTCCTTACTCCAAAATAGGTGCATGGTAGAACAAGTTTGACCACTCAACCGGTCTCTTGAACACCTGTGAGCAGAAGGTCTGACTGAGGCCAACATTTCTTTCTGTGACGTGGTGTCTGCCTCTCAGCTGTGGCCTCCCGTACGGCAGGAGCAGAAATATGAAATCAATTTCCCGGGTCCCAGGGCAAAAGGATTAAACTTTTATTTTGTCCCCAGGCACAAATGGTTTAACTGTTATCTCCACTGAAGCTATAGAGATGCCACAATGGGTAAAAAATAAGCTGAGGTGAGCATTTATTACTTAAGTGGTGAAATATTACTTCTCCATAAAGATACCAACCATTAAAAGCAGGAAAATACATCGACTTACAACGATTCACTGTATACAAAGTATTTTTTATATTTTCTTTACATCTTGCTGATTCATTATTATTCAAACTGCATTTTCAGTCCACAGATAATCCACAGGGAAAATGATCTTGTGCTGCTATAACAAATGTAAAAGAAATATTGTGGAAGCAATGTGTCTTTACACCTACAATGACATTTAAATATTAGGCAGCGAAACCTAAAACTTAATCTGAAAAATAATTTTCACCTGCAGCAAAAGTTTTTTATTCATAAGAATTTTTTAAATGGTTTAAAGATATCAAATATACTAAAATGATTTGATGGATAAAATAGTGTTTAGTATATTTTATGAGCAACTGGCAAGAAATATCCACCTTACCATTACATAAAATAACCTTATTGAGAATAAACTTAAATAAAGACATTGCATTTCCTGTGAAGAATGATTATTGAAAAAAATAAGATGAAAAACGGCTGAAAATAACTGAGAAAATGCTTAAATGTAGCTGAAGTACAAGAACAAGCCTAGCAGAAAGAACACATATTTGTTGAATTAGGTTTAAATAAAGACATTAGCACAAAAATTAGGAAATAAACCAAAAAAGCTAATATTAGCAGAAAATAGCAGAAAAGTAGATGAAAAGGCAGAAAGAAGTTTAAGCTACCAGAAGAAATGGAAGGAGCTGAAACGAGCTCCAAAAATGTGGAATTAGCTGAAAAAGTTAAATTTAGCACGAAACAGCTAAAATGTATTTGAAATAGCAAAAAAAAAAAAAAGCTAAAACTAGCAGAAAAAAGCTGATATGAGCATAAGAAGCTGAAATTATCAGGAAAAAAAAGCAGACATTTGCAGGAAACAGATGAATAGTAGCTAAAAAAGAAACAGAGGAGCTGAAATTACAAGAAGAAGAGAGAGCATAATTTTTACTGAATTAGGCTTAAAAAGGTTGAAATTAGTGCAAAAAAGTGGAATTAGCCAAAAAGGCTAAAATTAGCATAAAACAGCTTAAGATGAGCTGAAATAAAAGAAAAAGCTGAACTTTCAGAAATAAGCTGATAGGAGCAGTAAAAGGTTGTAAACAGATCTAAAGATATGAAAGATGTAAAATGAGCTCAATTCATTTTCTTTGAGGAAAAAAAATGGCAGAAAAGGCTAAATATTTCAAAAAGCTAAAGTTGCACCAATACCAAAAGTCATAGCAGGATTGTCCTTAAGGAGCTGAACATCCTGATTTACGATTTATTGAAATAACTTGAAAACTGCAGGATGAGAAAGATGCTGAAAACATACGTAAGAAAAATGAATCACAACAGTGTGAATGCTTCATAAACATTCACACACATATCAAGGCTCCGTTTGTTGATTTCATTGCTGGCAGACCACAAACGCTAAAAGTTTGTTCAACTTCTCTTTTTGTGAAACTGATAGAGGAGGTGTCAGTGGAGGTCAGGGAACCTCCTGCAGGAGTTCTAACCCTCAAACATCTGGTCAGGCTCACCTGTGAGGTGACAGTCGTCGTTGGAGCCTGCAGAGTCCTCCTGGTTTGGGCTGAGAGGCGGGCTGGCAGGGGGACTGGTGCTGAAGCTGGCGTAGCCCAGAGACGAGCTCACCTCACTGGGCTCACAGCTGTGGTTGACCGGCCTCTGGACATCCAGAGATGAAGACAAAGAGGTGCGTTGCTTCGGCTAAAAGCATGACAAGGAAATAAAGTATGAATTTAAAATGATTCTGTGTGTTAAAACAAAAATGTATGCAGTTTTGGAAATATTAGACATTAAAGATATGGTTCCATATTGAATAAAACAAAATGTTCAATACATGCCAACTAAACACTTATGGAAAAACCATCATCTCAACCTCTTTCCCACAGGTCAAATTATCCATTAACAGTGTAATTTTTGCTGTGGGTGGTGCAGCAGCCAAGTGTAAATAATAAATTATCTCAGCGATGTGTTCATTAATCACTGTACAAGTTTGAATGTAACAGCATCCTTTATTTTCTTGCTTTAAAAGCATTAAAAAGGTAAAAGTACGAGCCGAAATTCAAATGGCATGCAGTGAAGATGAAGACAATCAGACGTGCAAACTGGCATCTGCTAAACACGTCTTACATAATGAGGCATTAGCAGCTCTCAGAAACCTGCTGCTGTCGCTTTAAAACAGCTTGCACGTTTAACATCCCTCTGGTTTACAGCGTCTCATTGATGTGCACGGCAATAATGCAACAACACAGAAATATTAAATTAAATTTATATATTTTGATAGAAACACAGAAGGGCAACCTTCAGAAGACCCTCAGTCTTCTTTGTGACTTAAGATGCAGACACTGACGAACGGGAGAGAACTAAAGGATGAATAAAGATAAAAAGAATTGAAAACAGGAAGGAAAGCTTTTCCAGGAAAAATTCATTTGAAAAGGGTTTGAAACAGGAAGTTAAAAGAAAAGCCAGCAAGAAAATTACCCAAAGAAGAGAAAACGATAAATTACGAAACCATTTGAAAGAGAAATGTATGACAGCAAATATTAAAAGATGCTGAGAAAATGAAAAATCAGCAGGAGAGCAGGAAACAGATGAAGAAAGAACTGGAGGAAAGTGGAATGCAGTAATCCCTCGCTACTTGGCGGTTCGTTTATCGCGCACTCGCTCTATCGCGGTTTTTCAAAATAAGACTGGACATGACACACAACTGGCTGATTGATGGATGAGCCGCACGATGGGCATGACATTTTTTTATTTATTTAAAATTAATTATTTTAAATTATTTAGCATCTGCTGCACCTTTCTGCAGCCCATACTGCAGGATAAACATCCTGCTGCAGCTGATCAGCTGTTCACTGTGCAGAGCAGATAAGTAGGCGTGGCCAAGAGCCTTGCAGGTGGAAAAGAGTAGCGGAGGCAGGGAGCTGAAATCATGAGATTCTGTGCTCTTTTAGAGCGTTTAGTTTAGAAACATTGTTTAGAATCTTGCAAGAATGTGGGAAGGGTTTAAAACTCCTTAACATATATATTTATATAAATACTAAAATAAACTACTACTTAGTACTTGTACTACTATTCCTACTTCACGGTTTTTCACTTGTCCTGGGTATTCAGGGTACGGATCCCCTGCGATAAACAAGGGACTACTATAATGAGGTGAAGAAAAGACATCGCTGACAAAAAAAGAAGCAGAATTAAGAATAATTAAAGTAAAAATAAGAATGATTAAAGTAAAAAATGAAACAATCGAATAGAAAAGGCAAACTGAAGATGAGTAAAACAGGAAAGATTGGAGGTTATTTCTGTAACATTGCACATAAGGAACACTGATAATTTGCATATCTTTGCAGTAAACATTAAAGAATTTAGGTGACATGTTGAAAATGTGTTTATTAATGTCACAAAGTTATTTTTTTAATTATTGTTTTAGGTCCGGCCTAAAATAACGGATCTTTTTTCAGCTGCAGAGTGTAAATAAACAAAGAACCAAGACACCATTAGCATAATAGCAGGTTAGTAAGTCTCATTTTGTGTAATTTTGTCTGCCACAAATCTTACTGCAAAATGAACGGACAAATAACATCACCAAGTTTATTTAATATATAAAAAGCATATATGTTTAATATCATTTATATCTATTTTATGTTAAAAACTGAATAAAAATGAAAATCTACTTTTTCTCCTTGCTATTGCTCCATCGTAGGTCAACCCCAACTGGAGTTATTTTCTAAATTCAACTACCTTGTTTCAATATAGTGCAAGTTTTACAAACATCGTTGGTATCAATTTTCTACTTATAGGGTACAAACAGTGCAGAAACAAATCGGAGCCAAAAATCCACTTTTTTTTTTTTATTCTTTGAGGAATATCAGTGCAACAGCAGCAGCCGACAGAGACCAGAGATGTTTAAAGGTCTAATGCATCAACCGGACAGGATCGCAACAATCCACAGAGGCATCGGGGAATGAAGGCAGTGATTTATGGGCTCGGCAGGGAATCACCCCGAGTGGGCACAAAGAGGGAAAATACACAAGCCACTTGTCAAAAACAGGCATGCTCTACATTTATCTTTTTACTGGACGTTCATGTTGCAAAAGAAATGCACACCGAGGCCAAACAAATGTGATTTTCTACGAGCTGTTCGTTATCAAACGCACTGAAGACCAGAGACGGAGTACACATGAGATAAAGACAAACGATCAAATCCGCTGATAAATATTTATACTGATATTAATCTACGCTCACAGACAGCAGACCCTGTGATGTTTACCTGGCCACAGGTTGAACAGTCGTCAGCTCGGACTGAATCACAGGAAGTCGGAGGCTGAAAATCTTTATAGGGAGAAGTGTAACGTCCGCTGAGTTCAACAGTATCTTCATCTGTTTCTTACAGCTTGTATGTTGTGTTTATTTACTGTGGCCCTGAGGTGTAAGTGAACATTTGAATAAACTGAATTACATTAAGCCAAACCAGAAGTGGTGGGGTTTTCTTTTTTTTTTTAAACTTTATTAACAACATAAAACGGAACAATGAACAATGTAGGGTCATTCCTCGGTGCCTTTTGAGTCCACATGCCATAATGTGGTATATTTTGTTTAAAGGGGGGCTAATATTTTATTAATCTCATTTTATATGTTTGACTCACCTCTTACTATAAAACACAAACATACAGTATACACAAGATTAATTTATTTAAAATAATTAAATCTAATTTTAAATGCATCTTGGGTTTACTGTCATGTCCCCTTTCATGCTTCCTGAAATTAAGTTACAATTCTAAATAATAATAAAAAAAGTAATTAAAAATACATATATTATTTTTAATAGTTCTCATCCAATCAAGTTTTATGATATGGGGGAGTGGTGGCACAGAGGTTAGAAGATAGGCCTGTGATCGGAAAGCCGCAGGTTCAACTCCCGGTACCGTCAACATCAAAATGTGGGTGGAAACGGTGGAACACCCACACCTCCTCCACCCTCATTCGCCCCACTCTCGGCCCCCGAGCAAGGCCCTTAACCCCCACCATCTGCTTCCTAAACAGGTCTCTCTTGAAAATGAGTTCTCGTGGCTCAGTGAGACTACCTGTATAAATAAAGGGTAAATAAATAAATAAAAAAAAGATATCCAAATATGTTTAGGATTAAATGATTAAAAATAAATTAAGTCCCTGAGTCAATTTTCCACCCTGTTACTCTAACATACCCGTCACCCCCGGTTGGGTTTAATGTAATTCCATTTTTTCAAATGTTGTGTTTTCGTTGTTTTTTGTGTGTGTTTTTTTCAAATGTAATTTTTATTTTAAAATGTTGGGGGGGGGGGGGGGGGGGGGGGGGGGTGGGTTTTTTTTTTTTTTTTTTTTGGTGTTGTGTTTTTTTTTTTTTTGTGTGTTTGTTTTTTTTCAAATGTAATTTAGTTTTTTTTTTTTTTTCAAATTTAAATTTGATTTTTTTCAAATGTAATTTCATTTTGGTCACCACTTCTGCTTTGGCATAATGTAGTCCTGTTTTTTTTTTTTTTTTTTTCAAATGTTGTTCATTTACACCTCAGGGCCACCGTACTTAATGCACCCCTCCATACAAACACATGAAGCATCCTGAAGCCCCAGCTAAAGCCTGGCATTAACAATGCAAACAGGCGGCTGGCTAATGAACATGTCACAGCCGATTGGAGGCAGATTAATGCGCTTGATGCACATGCAGCGACACACAAACTTTCACTCACACACACACACACACACACACAACACACACACACACACACACACACATGGACACACAGGCAGTTATGCCTGACTTAAGTTAGCAGAAATATTTTTCCTCAGTTGCATCAGCGTCCCTGGGGTAAAGCCATGCTGTTTAACACCTCAATAACACTTCTTTTAAGTGTCAATGTTTTAGACTGAAAGGTAATTTTATGTAAATGTTATAAATATAAATGATGTAAATTAAGATGACAAAGCAAAATCTCCTCCGATTATGTTAATGGAAGACGGAACGACGCTCGTGTCCCTTATTTAATGTTTTTTAGTCTCATCATTACCATCTGTTTCTGTAAGAGGAGAGATTTGCTTGTGCCTGTTAGCAAAATAGTTCAAAAACCACTGGACTAATTTAATGAAACTCTCATTAAATTAGAGTGACAGCTACAGCTGATCAACCCCAGCGAATACAAAAATGGCTTCAGCGCAGGCGTTTATAAAGATACTGATGGAAAATTATGAGTGGTAGTGTCTTAGAGTTGTTCACATTACATATTCTGAGCCCAAACGGATCCATTTTAAAGACTTTGACAAATAAAAGCACATATATGAAATATTTCAAGCAATGCTAAGTCTGTAAATTGTTTCTGCCTTGATTTAGGTAACAGCAAAGTTCCTTTAAAATGAATGAAACATAAAACTGATAAAACAAAATAAAAAAAATAAAAAAGCACCTAGAGAAATTTAATTTCCTGTGAAAATGCAGTGAGAATGCTTATTGATGAAGAACTTGCTGAAAAACAGCTGAAATTAGCTAAAAACATGATGAAATGTAGATGAAATTGAAAAACAAGTTTAAGTTAGTAGAAGAAAGCAGAAATAACACATATTTGCTCAATTAGGTTTAAAAAAGCAGAAATTATCACAAAAATTAGGAAATTAGCTAAAAATATTTAAAAAAGCCTGAAATTAGCGAATATTAGCTGAAAAGGTAGAAAGAAGCT